ACCCTGTAAAATCCTCACCTCCAAAGGAGAAGTTGGAAGGGGGCGGGGGAGGGGGGAGGGGGCGCCAACGCGGCTGATAAATTCCGCTCGAGGTTACCCGGACGTATAGAGAGATAGGGATAGACAAGAGGGAAGAGAAACAGAGAGACGGAGAGAGAGAGAGAGAGAGAGAGAGAGAGAGAGAGAAAAAAATATATTCAATTCGAGGTTCACAGCTAAGACGCGTTGCAGAAAAACCAATACGTATCCCGCGTGCCGGCCATGATGGATTGCCGGAGCTATGGGAAACTATCTGTCAAGCACAATATCGACCCTCGCCCTCCTCGTCCAACCCCCTAGGAACCGAAAGGTTCGGCTCTTGCCCGGCTCTCTCGCTCTCTTTTTCTCTTCTTCTCTCTCTCTCTCTCTCTTTCTCTCTCCTCGCGACGCGGCCTCCGCACTACACAACACACGCTTTCCAACCTTCCTTCGACCCCCCTTTTTCTCTCTCTCTCTCTCTCTCTCTCTCTCTCTCTTTCTCTTCGTTTCACAGTCTCACCCTCTTCCACTCCCCACTGGCCGAGAATCCGTGACCATTTCGCAAATGGCACGGTCTTCTCCTCCACCATAGATCCCGTTCGCGTTTGCATAAGAAAAGAGTACGGAATGTACCGTTAAAAGACGACGACGAGCCGAGCGAAGTGGCGGTGATGGTGATGGTGGTGGTGGTGGAGGAGGAGGAGGAGGTGATAGAGGAAAAATCGTTGAATTCCTAGTGGCCCTCACCCCCTAAATGTAAATTCTATTTCATCGATTCTTAAGAAAAAAGAAAAAAGGATTGAAGGATAGAGATAATATTGCAACAAATGTTAATGTGTTAGTAATAGCTGGTCTAAAAAAAAGCTACTTCTGAATTATTGTCGATTCACGGGAAAAAAAATAAAGATATTTNTATATATATATATATATATATATATATATATGTATATATATATATAAAATGAGATATTTACAAATGGAAGTTATTCAATAGTTATTATTTAATAAGAATAATATAATGTTAACAGTGTTATAATATAAATTTTAAGTACGTTCTTTTTTGCACATTTTTATTTTAAAGCTATTTTTTATTTCTATTTTTCTAATGACTACTAGACAATTAGAAATCATGCACGATCGGATCGAACTAAGTTATTTGATTGAAACTAAAAAAGAAAAAAAAAAGAAAAAAAGAAAAGAAAAGAAAAGAAAAGAAAAGAAAAAAGAAAAAGAATTATTTTTAACCTTCAAAAAGTTTGGTATCTAATCTAAATTTGATATTTTTATAAAATTTTAAAATTGTTTACTTATTTACTTAGTTAGAAGTTATTATATAATAATATGATTATATAATAATATAAACATATTACTTTGCATTCCATCTATGTATTTACAATTTATATACATATGGTTACAGTATATCTATTTTCAAAGTGGGCAGAGATCCCCGAGATTGAGGATGTTCGTTCGATCGAAATTTCGATCTTCAAAAAGTGCACTTCACTGCTCTCTCGAACAATCTATGAATGAAACTTGGGAAAACTGGCGATTATCTGTCTGTTTAATAATTTGAGATTAAACAAGGAAACGCGGAGAAAAGATAAATATAGAAGAGAATTGCGAATGCAGCAAATAGAATCCACGGCCATCTTGTTTCGTGTGAACGGCGCAGCTGCCGTTCTATCCCCACTACTCTTTCATCCCTTAACTTTTCGACTCCTATACGTTTCCATACCGCAATCTTATTCCAATCTTAATAATAATCTTGTCTTTACTTAAAAAAAAAGAAAAAGAAAAAAATCTATCTTTAAAATTCATGAATTAATTCTTCGATCTCGAAGTTTTACAAAACTTTTAAAAATTGTTATGCATAAAAGTTTTATATATATATATACACAAGTTATTATGATTACCAAGATTATCAAGATTGATTATCAAGACCTTTTCAAGAAGATCTTTTAAACAAATCTTTTCCCAAACAAGAAACTTATTCACTACATATACATGCTAATTCTACATCTACAACTATACTACAACATACTTATTCTACATATACAAAATATATACAACATACATTCTACAATAATAATAATAATAAACTTATCCTATAATATTATTTTCTTAAGATGCGTCTTAAGATTAAGATAATTAAGATTCTTCGATCTTAATCATTGGATCAACTTAAAAATTATAAAAATTTTTTGATTTTTTTTTTTTTTTTTTTTTTTTGAAGATCCTCTAAATAAATGAAAAACTTATTCTACAGTAATAATAATGATAATAAATCTTAACCTCTTAAAATTCTTAAGATTCGTCTTAAGATTCTGCAATCTTCATCATCAATTCAGATCAAAAATTATCAAACTCTTTTCATCTAAATTTTAAAAATCGTCTCAAACAAATCTAATTCATCAAAATTAATTAATCCACTTTCTTGAAAATTATGGTGGATCCCTTCTCTATCGTTCATCTATGTTCTTTCTTTCGTCGTTATTGGTGCATTATCGAAGCAAAAATCGAAGGAAAAATTTTTTTTACAAATTTCTCCAATATGCTTCTCAATATCCTTGGAAGTGAATCAAGAAACGCCTAGTCAGCGTTATTCGTCAAATAAATGTTATCCTCTTATAGGAAGTGTGTCAAAATATTTGTGTAGAAAATTACATTTACTCGAGAAACGATAAAAGACAGATGTAGACGAGAAACTGAGCAAAATACAGCGTGAACGACCGCGTTGCATCTACCTGAATCGTGGAGGATGCTCGGTTATTCGGTGGTTTATTATTTCGATCATTAATCATGCAGGTTGCAAGGTCAAACATTCATTTTCATTTAACAATCAATGTCTCTCGTCTACAATTCATGTAATTTTCAGTCTCTTATTTTTATCGCGCAATGATCACTCTCTTTCTCTCTCTTCCCCTCTCTCTCACTCCTTCTCTCTCTCTTTTCCCCTCTCTCTCTCTCTCTCTCTCTTTCCTTCTCTCTCTCTCCCTCTGTCTGTCTGGCTGTCTCTTTTTATTCCTCTCCTTATCACTCTCTATAATTTTTGTTAACATTTAAAATAAAATATATATTGAAAATAAAATATATATAAAAATAAAAAAGATTTTTTTTCGTAGTTCTTATTTTAGGAGAAGTAAGAAATTATTAAAAATGGACCTAATGAAGCTAATGAAGTAGTTACAAAAAATGAAATATTAATAAATTTTACTTAAGAATAATTGAATTTTAAATTGATATTGTTGACGGTTAATTTTGAAAAAAAAATTCGTTTATATTATTTAATAATTTCAATTTTTGAAAGTAGCAAAAGAATTTTTTAAATATATTTACATATAATAATCTTTTATATTTAAAAACATTTTCATATGTATATATATATATATATGTGTATAAATATATATATATATATATTTTACATATTTTATATATCACATATGTATTTTAAATATAAAAGAATACTTATAATTTTTATTTTCCTATTAAATGTAATATTACGTTTAATAATTAAATTTAATACTATTTCTAATAATTAATATATATAATATTTATATATGAAATATTTCACTTGATATTTATATATGAAATATTAATATATCAATTATATATTAATTTATCCTATGTAATCTAATAACAATGTCGATTGTATCGTAAACAATTTAATAACAAGGAATAAATTCATCTATTACCATTACTTCTCCATTAAGAATTACGTTTTTTTTTTCTTTTAAATAACTAAATATTCAAGTTTGTAATGATTACGTCTTATCTGCATGATTTTTATAATTCATATATCCGTTGTACTGTCCATGCTGCTGCTGTTGATGTTGCTGCTGCTGTTGATGTTGCTGCTGCTGTTGATATTGCTGCTGCTGTTGATGTTGCTGCTGCAGCGGTTGTTGATATTGGACGTAACCTCCTTGAATCGATTGGCTCTGCATATATGAAGCCATGGTAGTAGCGGTTTGATACATCATGGATGTAACTGGATTTGTAGTTGTTGCAACTGGATTGGTAAACGTAGATGCGTTTTTCTTTTTAGCTTTTGCTTTCTCATCCTCGTTATCGTTCAATTTTTTAGCCTTCATCCTCCGATTTTGAAACCATATTTTCACTTGACGCTCGCTCAAAGAGAGTGCCTTTGCTATTTCGAGGCGACGATTTCGTGTTAAATATCTATTGAAATGAAATTCTTTTTCGAGTTCAAGGGTTTGGTGACGAGTGTACGTCTGACGTGTACGTTTTTGTCCCGTGTTGCTCGACTCGCCTGTAAAATATTCGGATTTACGGTTATACAGGGTGAAAAGGGAAAGTTACGATAATTGTGACAAATTTATGACGTTATTCACAATGAAAATTTAAAATCTACCTGAAAATTTGTCATTTTCAGGTAAAATAATTACAACAAGGAAAATGGAAAAAAATATATATATATATATAAAATATGGAAATATTTCGAGAAAATTAAATTTTAAGATTCATTTGGAAACTCATTTTTCACAGTGAATATCGTCATAGCTTTTAAAATAGAAATTGAAAATTTACTTGAAATTGAAAGAAATGACAATAGATTGTAACTTAATGCACCTAACCTTACCTCTAACAAAAGCCAAGAATTCGTATGTAGAATCGAATGTAAAATTTTTCATGACAGCGTGAAAAAGAAAAATAGAAATTTTTTAAAAAATTTAATATTTAATAAAATTATTGTAATAATTTATTGTTGAAAATTTAATCTCTAAGAAAAATTAATTTCAAAAATTTTTCATAATAATTTTCAAGAGAAAAATGAAAAATTTTTGAAACCAATGATTAAAATTTAATACGAACACGAATATAATATTATTTCAACAATTTATCGTTCAAACCTAACCTCTAACAAAAGTCACAAATTAATCGAAATTTTTCACGATAATTTTCGAGAGAAAAGTGAAAAATTTTTAAAACCGGTCATGAGTAAAATTTGATAAAATTTATTTCAATGCGAAATTACTTTGATAATTTATTGTTCAAAGTATTGTAATCTAATATATACCTAACCTAATCTAACCTCTAACGATTCATTTCAAAAATTTGTCACGATAGCTTGCAAAAGAAAAATTTCCGAAATTAATAATAATTAAAATTTAATAGTCACGAATAAATTTATTTCGATAAATTATTAAAATAATTTATCCTTCAAAAAACCTAACCTCTAACAAAATTGATTTCGAATATAAAATTGTTTCACGCTAATTTTCAAGAGAAAAATGAAAAATTTCTGAAATCAATTATGGTTAAAATTTAATAATTACGAAAAATAAAAGTTACTTTCATAATTTATCGTTCGAACAACCTAACCTCTAACAAAATCAAAAATTTTTCACGATAATTTTCAAGAAAAAAATGGAAAATTTCCGAAACCAGTGATGATTAAAATTTAATAATCACGAATAAAATTATTTTAATAATTCATTGTTCGAAATATTCTCACCTAATACATACATAACTTAACCTAACCTAAATTCTAACAATTCGCTTGAAAATCTTTTGACGATAGCTTGTAAGAAAAAATTGAAAATTTCCGAAACCAATGATGATTAAAATTTAATAGTTACGAATAAAATTATTTTAATAATTCATTGTTCGAAATATTCTCACCTAATACATACATAACCTAACCTAACCTAAATTCTAACAATTCGCTTGAAAATTTTTTGACGATAGCTTGCAAGAAAAAATTGAAAATTTCCGAAACCAGTGATGATTAAAATTTAATAATCAGGAATAAATTTATTTGGATAAGTTACTTTAATAATTTATCGTTCGAACAACCTAACCTCTAACAAAATCAAAAATTTTTCACGATAATTTTCATGAAAAAAATGGAAAATTTCCGAAACCAGTGATGGTTAAAATTTAATAGTTACGAATAAAATTATTTTAATAATTCATTGTTCGAAATATTCTCACCTAATACATAACCTAACCTAACCCAATCTAACAATTCGTTTGAAAAAATTTTCACGATATCTTGCAAGAGAAAAATCGAAAATTTTTAAAATTAAGTGATGCTTAAAATCTGATATTATTTACTTTGAATTTACTTCGAATCCAAAATTTTTTCACGATAATTTTCGAAAAGGAAAGTAAAAAATTTTCGAAACCACTGATAGTTAAAATTTAAAAAATTTACCAATAAGACAATCTCTCCAATTCGAAATGTACGCACATAATCAAAATATCGAAAGGAATAATCGACATCCCTAATACTACTACTACCAATATAATAATTAATCGATAAATTTTCGGCAAAAATATTCGACAGAACTAATAATATTCATTTACTTGGATAAAATTAAAATATTGAAAAAAGGAAAAAGAAAATTTCTACGAACCTTTAGATGTTGATGGTTTCAACCAGGAATAATCCACCTGCTGCGGCTGCTGTTGTTGTAATTGCGGTGCCTGTGGTTGCGACTGTGTTTGCTGTAACTGACTCTGCTGTAACTGATTCTGCTGCAAGTGGATTTGCTGTAGTTGTGCTTGCTGCAAATAGCTCTGCTGTAGTTGTGTTTGCTGCAAATAGGTCTGCTGTAGTTGCATTTGTTGCAAATGAGTTTGCTGTAGATATGTTTGTTGCAAATGAGTTTGCTGTAGATGTACTTGTTGCAAATAAATTTGCTGTAACTGCTGTTGCTGTAACTGGGTCTGTTGCAGCTGTGACTGCTGCAGGTGTAATTGTACCTGTTGCGATTGTTGCTCTTGCTGCTGCTGCTGCTGCTGCTGCTGCTGCAATTGTTGTTGTTGTAGTTGTAGTTGCAATTGTTGATGCTGTAACTGTTTCTCTTGCAACTGCTGCTGTAGAAACTGCTGCTGTAGAAACTGCTGCTGTTGCAACTGATTCTGTTGCAACGGTTCTTGTAACTGCTGTTGTTGCAGCGGTTGCTCTTGTTGCAACAGTTGTTGCAGCTCGTTCACGAATTTGTCATCTTGAGGAACTTGGTTCCCTCCCTTTTTATCACTATCACCATTCATGTAACTACAACTTGGTTGGACGAAAGTCGTGGACGCGATCATGGCTGGAGTTGACAGCATGTAACTGCTGTTCCCGACCACGTGTTGCTGTTGCATCGGGTACAACTGTTGATCAACGTATCCTTGTAAATAATCATTTCGCGGTTCAGGCTGAGTAATACCGAGAACCGTCTGTTTCTGCTCAATTGCCTGTTGATCCTGGCCATCAATAGGTGATATGCTTTTGCTGGACGTGCCTGGAGTGTAAGGAGGCGTGTGATAGAACACTTGCCCGTTTTTTATGATGGGCTGCAGCACCACCGGTGGTTTCTCGTTCTCCGTTGTCTCGATCTGTTGTTGCTGAGGCATGGCGTTCTCCACAGGCATGGCGTTCTCCACAGGCTTGTCACGCTTCAGAAGCATTTCCAGCAAACTGCTCGACTCCATCCCGTTCTGTTCGACGACCGATTCCATCCCCGACTGTTCGTGCGTCGCTGCCTCGTTGTAATCAGGGCATTCCGTCAGATTCTGATAGGGCACCGCCGGTGACCATATATCGTCCAAGTTCAAGTAATCTATATCATCATCAATCAAGAGACCCGTTCTGGTAAGCCAATGGTAATCCATGTCGTTAGATGAATTCGCCATTGTGATAAGAATAAGAATTCATCCGATCGCCTTCTCCCTTCCAAGAATATTAAAAATTTCTTTATCTATCACCTCACTCGTTTAAATATCACTTGTTTCTTCACCTATATCACTTGTCTATCACTTGTCGGTATCACAACAACAGGAGACAGAGGTTTCCCTCCAAGGGAGGGAAGGAGCTTCGAAGCTCCTTCCCATGCGCTTGTGGATCGCTTAATGGACGCTCAATGCAGACTGACAATTATTTAAATGAAACGAGACACTGTGATCTCGATGATTTAAATTAAAGAGTGATTTAAATTAAATTTTCCCGGAAAATTTCCGGGAGCGTTTTGCGCGCGTGGCGAAATGAAGCACAGCTTTCATCGAATTATTACTGCGGTGCGACACGACACAAGCTCGTACCCTGCGTCCTGTGCAGTTGTGAAGCTGGAGGGGATACACTAGCCACTAACCCCTGTACGGAGAACGGATGTACAGAGATCCTAATACTAAGACTTGTACCGAGAGACTGATCGGTATTCTGCTGTATCCTTTTTCCTCTTCTGGGCCCGGGTCCTATCAGCTGGCCCCTCGATTCCCTTCGAGCCACCCCCATCGCTCCATCGGATCCGTGTCCCGAAATCCCCTCCTACTATTAACGCTATTCGCACAAAACCTTTCCTTTCCTTTCCCTTTGGCGCACGACAATGTCGCATGCCATGTGCCAACCCCCCGATCTGCGAGCCCCCTGTCTCTCGGCCCGGCGCTTCCTCCTTTCACCAAAATTTTCCGATTGAAGATTAATTAATATATATAAATCGGGGGATGATCAATTCGATTTTATTTCGAGCAAGAAGGAGAAGTGTTTGATTTGATTTGATTTGATTTGGCGAATTTTAATTTCTTCTGAGGGGGAGAGAAGGGGAGAGAAAGGGAGAGAAAGGGGGCGAAGGATTCTAGAGGAGAGGTGTAAGAGGTGGAAATTTCGAGAGGGGGTGGGTCTTGGGAAACGACGATTAATCAACCACCCTTTCTTTCTCTCCTCCTCTTCCCTTTCCCCTGTCCCGTTATATGTGCATTTAGCACGTCTCCTCCTCGTCCTTCGCCTTCCTTCCTTCTTATTTTCATTAATCCCACTTTCCACCCCCGACGCACTTTCTTCGAGGGGGGGGAGAAGGGGAGCGAATTTCAACTTTCGTCATTCGTTTTTCTCGTTGGAAAAAAATTCTTAGGAATTTTTTTCTATCTCTTCATGATGGGAAAATTCTTGAAGAAATCTTGTGAAATCGAGGAAATGTTGAGGCGGTGAAAGGAGATGCTGAATCTAAACAATTATCGTCAAAGGTGGATAAATAGAAAGAGGCAAATACTATATATATATATATATAAATAGTAAAGTAACCCTGGAGAAAAAACGGTGATTAATGATTGGTTCGACGTGGTGGCCGAAGTTACGGGGGAGACCGGTTGATCGGGATGGACACGAGTTTCTTTCTTTGATAGAGAGGGAGAGAATCTGGGTTTGCGTGGCCGATGGAAGGAACGGATGTTATACCACCGATAATAAATAATAATCCGCAAAGGGCGATATTTGTGGGGAGGAGGGTCGCGAATCGTAAATGATTTCGCCCAGTGACTTAATTTTGCCGAGGAAGAGAAAGGTTGGAGGAGCGCGCGAGGGTGATAAGGTGGGATCTTTATTTTATTTTTCTTTATTTTATTTCATTATTTTATTTCATATAGAATAATCTTCCTTTGGTGGAAGAACGTGCTTTGGGAATATTTCGAAATCTTTTTTTTTTTTTTTTTTTGTTTATTTTATTTCATATGGAATTCTTTGGTGAGAGAGCTGCTGTGGAAATATTTCGAAATCTTTCTTATTTTTTGGTTTATTTTATTTCATGTGGAAGAGTGAGAGAGAGCTGTAGGAATATTTCAAAATTTTCTTTTTTTGTTTTATTTTATTTCATATGGAATTCTTTGGTGAGAGAGCTGCTGTGGAAATATTTCGAAATCTTTTTTATTTTTATTTTATTTCATGTGGAAGAGCGAGAGAGCTGCTATAGGAATATTTCAAAATTTTTTTTTTTTGTTTTATTTTATTTCATATATGGAATTCTTTGGTGGAAGAGTGAGAGAGCTGCTATAGGAATATTTCGAAATCTTTTTTTTTTTATTCCATTTTATTTTATTTCATATAGAATTCTTGGTAGAAGAGAGACAGCTATTATAGAAATATTTTGAAATCTTTTTTTTTTGTTTTATTTTATTTATATTACATGGAATTCTTTAATGAAAGAGAGACAGGATGCTGTGGAAATATTTCGAAATCTCTTTTATTTTTTTTGTTTTATTTTATTTCATATGGAATTCTTTAATTGAAGAATGATAGTGATTTTGGAATATTTTCGAGATTTTCAAGGAATTTTAAAAGTTTCGAACGAAGATTCTTTCGAAGAAGAAATTTCTAGAAACATCGAAAAAGTTGACGAAAATAGCATAGAAAACAGAAACACTGGAAATAATTTGTGTTTATGGCAATGTTGGATGCAAACGTTGTTTATTTTATTTCATATGGAATTCTTCAATTGAAGAATAAGAGCGTGATTTTGGAATAAAAATAAAATATTTTCGAGATTTTCAAGAAATTTTAAAAGTTTCGAACGAAGATTCTTTCGAAGAAGAAATTTCTAGAAACATCGAAAAAGTTAATTTAAAAGTTTCGAAGATTCTTTCGAAGAGGAAATTTCTAGAAAGTGAAACATCGAATAAGTTGACGAGAGCGTAGGCAAATTATTCAAAACATTTGGCAACCTTGCACTACTGCTAAGCTTTCACGACGAATCCCCCTAATAAAGGAGCAAGATGACCATTTTATGACTCGGCCTCTTATAACAAAGAGGTGAACGGTTTCGATTCTTCTCCCCGCACCCGGTAATATATTTCTTACAAGTGCGGAACAGATTTCGTGAAAGAAGAAGGAAGAAGGAAGGCAAAGGAGAAAGAAAAAAAGTTTTGCAAAAGTTTTTATTGCATGTTGTAAAATTTTTCCTAAATATACCTGGGCCAACAACGAAAACAGAAACACCTGGAAATAATTTGTGTTTATGGTGTTGGATGCAAACGTTGTCCAAATGAAGACACTCGTAGACATTCGTTTCGACACTTATTGTTCGTTTGTCCTGGGAATGGTGGGGGGGAGAGGCACGTGCTTCGAGCTGTAAAGAGGACACGTCATCTCAGGTGTCGTTCAGGTAGTTTCTTCTTAACTTCCTCGTTCCTTAAGAATTGCTTTCTCTCTTCCACCTCGACTTTCTCTTTCTTCTTCCCTCTCGAATTTTTTAAATCAAGAGGGGAGGATTATTATAACTCGATGGAATTTTATTTAATTGACGTTGTTTTTAAGTGTTTATAATTTAAAATTTCTGATTGTCTTTCGAGTTCTAATCGAATAATTTATTTGTAAGAGCATGCTTGAAGTCGAAATTATAAAATCAACGAATTCATTCTAAAGTTAGAAATTTTTAACAACGTTTAATATTATTTTTAAATGTAATTAAAATTTCTAAAATTGTCTTTCGAGTTTTAATCAAATAATTTATTTGTAAAATGCTTGAAGTCGAAATATCAATGATTTTATTCTAATTAGAAATTTTTAACAACATTTAATATTATTTTTAAATATAATTAAAATTTTTGATTTTCTTTCGAGTTCTAATCGAATAATTTATTTGTAAAAGCATGCTTGAAGTCGAAATTATATCAATGAATTTATTCTAAATTTAAAAATTTTTAACAACAATTAATATTATTTTTAAATGTAATTAAAATTTCTAAAATTGTCTTTCGAGTTTTCGAATAATTTATTTGTAAGAGCATGTTTGAAGTCGAAATTTGAAAGAGAAAGAAGAAATTTATTATATAGACAACGAATGAATTTTAAATTTAGAAATTTTTACTGAAAATTAATATTATTTTTACAGTTTAAATGTAATTAAAATTTCTTATTGTCTTTTGAATGATTTACTTGTAAGAGCATGCTTGAAGTCGAAATTATATAATCAACGAATTTATATATTGCATAAAATTTCTAAATTTTATAATTAATATTATTTTAAAATTTGAAAAGAAAAAGAAGAAATTTATTATATATCTACGAATGAATTTTAAATTTAGAAATTTTTATTGAAAATTAATATTATTTTTAAATGTACGTTTAAATGTAATTAAATTTTTTGATTATCTTTCGAGAAATTTACTTGTAAAGGCATGCTTGAAGTCGAAATTATAAAATCAAAAAATTTATTCTAAATTTAGAAATTTTATATATTATATATAAATTGTTCAATTTGGTTAACTCGAAAGACAATCAGAAATTTTAATTACATTTAAAATGATATCAATATATAAATAAAATTCCATCGAGTTGAAATTCCTAAATTTTATGAAATATTTTATAATTAATATTATTTCAAAATTTGAAAAGAAAAGGAAGAAATTTATTATATAGTCAACGAATGAATTCTAACTTAAAATAAATTTTTTTATTAACAATTCCTAAATTAATATTATTTTTACCGTTTAATTTAAATTATTTTTAATTACTTTTAATTATTTTTAATTAAAATTTCTGATTGTCTTTCGAGTTAACCAACCAACCGATCGAATAATTTATTTAATTATTAATTTATAAGCGCAAGCTTGAAATTTATATGTTATAGTGAACGAATGAATTTATTTATTCTTCTATTTCTATTATTAAATTTAAAAATTTTTCACCAACAATCGAGCCAAGGAAAAGAGGAGAAGAAATTCAACTCGACTTATTTAATTGATATCATTTTTAACGCTTTAAATGTAATTAAAATTTCCGATTATCTTTCGAGTTAACGAACCAAATCGAATAATTTATTTTACATATAAGAGCACGCTTGAATTCGAAATTTGTTCTATTTGAGAGAGAAAAGAAGAAACTTATATATACGAGTGAATTTATTCTATTTCTATTATTAAAATTT